GGAATGAAGGTGATCCATCCTCACGTGTAGTGGATGGCATTGCATTAGGAACAGATTGTGTGTGTGGGTACAAAAGGGAGAGAAGAAGGGAAGGATGACTCTAGGTCGTGATAAGGAGGTATGCTCACGCATCTCTCAACCCAGGATGTTGACGTCATGGGCCTCTTCCATCTCCCTGCCCACGTATTGCCGTGGTTCTTCGTTGCTCAGGTAAATGACCTTCCTCGCGTTCTCTCTTGTTTTCTACTAGCATCGGCCTAGAGCCTTGCCAGCTTTTTGCGTCTCCAGGGCGCAGCTTCCCGCATCATTATGCCCTGCTTCCTACAACTCACCCTGGTACCCTGTCCCCTTTTTTCAATTACTGTTTATAGACGGTTGTGCTTGAACAAGAACTTCCATTATCCGATCTGCTGGGTATAGCTGTAGGACATTTATATCACTACGCCAGTACCAGAAAATTGGTCAAGCCTCCAGCTTTCTTGAGAGTTTTTTTCGCACAAAAGCACTTTCGAAAACTGTACCGGAGTTTCGAGGACGATTTGCATTGAAATAATCAAAAATAAGACGCAAAAAGTAAAAAGCATCGCTGAACTATAGTTTTCAGAGGACAATGTAATACTTACCTATACGGCTGCCTTCCGTACTTGTGTGTTCTGCAGGCATCACTAGTCTCGTTCCCGTTAACACAGCTCCTGCAGATAATTTATGGGGGTGTTTTTCCATTTTTTTTGCCATTTGCCATGTAGCCCTCATCGCCATTTTACACACCATCCAAATGAAATGAAGGCAAGCTTGGTTTCCTTACATGCCTCACTTATGGAACCGCGATGTATCAACTGTGCTATTCCCGGTACTTCCGAATTATCGCTCTTTGAAGCTTGTAACGGTTGGACCGTCAACCTACCTGCTAGGAACATTCCAAGTCAGGTTTAGGATGACAGAATTATTGTCGTGGAGGGCGAAATGTGCAAATATTTCATGCTATAAGATTGTATTTATGTTTGAATCGAGGTCCATCATTTTGATAAAGTGAAATGCGTATATTGGCAAATGGCCATGCAAACTACTTGGCTACAGGAAAGATTTCCATTTGTCCATTCGACCTTCCGTCCATCATATTACACGTTAATGACTCGTCAAATGTGTAAAATATGTATGATGAAAGTTTTACCGCGGTTGGTGGAGAATTATCTTGTGTTAAATTCCGTACTTTTATGCACATTGCAGGTGAGCGATGGGAAGAGGTCAGAGCATCCGAGCATCTTCTAGAAGCCATGACGTGGACGAGGAGACCAAAGAGCCTTTCAATATTGAGCAGTGTGATATAATTAGACACCAGGATCTTCCATCTTCCAAAGAGGGCCTAAGTATTTCCTTAAAGGCTCTTGCATTGTACAGCCTTCATTACATTGCCCGGTTCACGCTGGGGTGGGGGAGGCGCCTAGTTGCCAACTTAGGATGGTGGCACCTGCTAGTCCTTGTTCTTTCTTTTTTTGGCGGCTCCTGGATCTTTCGCATTTTTCTGGGACTCATGTCACGAAAGATAGAGCACGAGGTATCGGGTGCTTTGTTAGCAGCGCCGCCGGAGGCAGTGGGAGGGAATGGAAATTCTACCATGCTGAAAGATTGGCTGATTGATGCGTTTATTCGGTTGTTGCCTTTGCAAATGCAGGACATGGTGCGACGCATGATACAATTTATGAAAGCCTGACAGGGAAAGATGAAGGTAGACATGATGCTGTTGGAAGGCGAGAAGAAGCCAGTCATATCAAGATGCAAGAATGGACGTTACGTGTATGAAAGCAATGTTCCATTTAAAGGAATCTGACTTATGAAAGCAATAATTCCAGAAAAAGGAATCTGATTTGATAGTTGAAGGGCGTTCTCACAAGGCAATGTTACTAATTTGCTTTTGAAGCCTGTTACGGCGTTGTTGTTGCTTTAAACTGTGCTCCAGGCTCCTTTCTTCCTCTTCATGACCGCCTCTCGATCCTGTTCGTGGATTACCAGCTCCTCCTCCTCTCCCTCTTCCTCCTCTACCTCTTCCTCTCCCTCTCCATCCTCCCTCTTTTTTCTTCTCTTACTCTCTTTTCCCAGTGCCGCACGTTCCTTCTCTTTCTCCTCCGTTGCTTTCTTCTTCTCAGCATCTTTCTTCATTTTCTCGTAAAGTTTGGCAGCGAAATTGAAGACACCACCTGTCAAAGAAAAATGCCGGGGGGGACGAAAGAGTGCAAAAAGAACAGGTCAAACATGCTAGCGTCTAGCCGAAACGTGCGCGCCCACCAAGATGGAGGGCGAAATTCACATTCATAAAATGACTGGGAAAAAAGGGGCTACAGGGATGCAAGCGCCTGCGCCTGAATTTCCTCTTTGACCTCCCCCTCCC